GAAGGAAGGAAGGAAGGAAGGAAGGAAGGAAGGAAGGAAGGAAGGAAGGAAGGAAGGAAGGAAGGAAGGAAGGAAGGAAGGAAGGAAGGAAAAAGAAAGAGATAGATAAACAAGGGAGGGAAGAAGAAAGAAAGAAAGAAAGAAAGAAAGAAAGAAAGAAAGAAAGAAAGAAAGAAAGAAAGAAAGAAAGAAAGAAAGAAAGAAAGAAAATAGATTAACACGGAAGGAAGGAAGGAAGATGGAAAATGAAAGAAAGGGAGGGAGGGAGGGAAAGAAAGAGAAAGAAAGAAAGAAGGAAGGAAGGAAGGAAGGAAAGAAAAGAAAGAAGGAAAGGAAAGGAAAGGAAAGGAAAGGAAAGGAAAGGAAAGGAAGAAAGAAAGAAAGAAAGAAAGAAAGAAAGAAAGAAAGAAAGAAAGAAAGAAAGAGAGAGAGAGAAGGATTAACAAGGAGGGAAGGAAGGTAGGAAGATGGAAAGTGAAAGACAAGGAAGGAAGGAAGATAGGGAAAAGAAAGAGGAAGGAAGGGAAAGGAAAGGAAAAAGGAAGGAAGGAAGGAGCAAGGAAGGGAAGAAAAGAGCTGCAAAGGGAGAAAAACAATGGCATCAACATTGGCCAAAGTTGGCACCGTAATCTCAGCTTGTTTGCTTTTGGGTCCCCAAAGAGGATGGTGGCAAAAGGGGCTCCAGAAGGGACCGTCCAGCAACGTAGACACCAAGCAGGACACCAGTTGAAGGGAACTCTAGCCCACAAGACCACTTATTTGGGTTGGAAACTAGGCATCATGGTTTGCAAACCCTGGCTTACGCTTGTCAGGCTCTGGCTGGGTGATGCCTGATGATAAGCTGTGATGATGTCATGGGGTGATGTCATAGTAGACCACAGGGTATCATTTATGGCTGGATTTGCATAATTGCTGGTGTCCAGTGATGTCATCATGCCGGTGATGATGTCATTTTCCCCCTATAGGATTCAGCTCGTGTTCACTTTCCTCTTTGTTTCATTCATGTCATGTGACCAGTGACATCACAATGCAGGTGATATCATTTAACCAAACTAGAGGTAATCCTCAAATTACAATCTTGCATTTAGTGACCATTCAATGTTACAACGGCACTAAAAAAAGTGACTTACGACCATTTTCACACTTACAACTGTTGGAGCATCCCCGGGATTATGTGGTTCATATATATGACGGTCGCCGAATCCCCACGCTATCCCCTTTTGCGACCTTCTGCCAAGCAAAGTCAATGAGGGAGGCAAATTCACTTAACAACCATGTGACTAACTGAACAACTGCAGCGATTCACTTAACAACCGGGCCAAGAAAGGTTGTAAAACGGGGCAAAACTCACTCAACTGTCTTCCTTAGCAAACAACATTTTGAGTTCAGTTGTGGTCCTAAGTCGAGAACGACCTCGTACTGTACTACTGTACATATTGCACTTTTCTTCGAGATGGAGCAGGCTGGGAGTCGTCGTTCTTCTGGGATGAATGTTTATTTCAGTGTTTCTCAGCCTTAGCAGAATGCTTTAAGATGGCTGGACCGACTCCCAGAATTCCCCAGCACACATAAATTTGCCAAGGTGAAATAATACTGATTTATCTTCACATCTGATGAAGCCTGCCTGGATTCCTGTCTATGCAATTTTGATTTTTCTTTCTTTCTTTGAGACAGACCTAAAAATATGCATTGTGCATCTATGGGAGGCTGTAAAACCTACTATTCCTTCTTGGTTCATTTTACCTCTTTTCTTTATACATTTTGGACCAGCGTGTGTCAGCTCTCTCTCTCTCTCTCTCCCCTTCCCTCTTTCCCTCTCTCAAAGGTTATTAAGAGAGAACCTGCCATTTTTTTTACATGGATCATCTTGGTGATTATTTCTATTACTCTCCTTGTTATCCCATCTTCCTGCAGTTAAAATGCAAAGGACGTTGCAGGAAATTCTAAACAATGGCTGCATTCAAGCAATTTTACACCCAGCCTGCATGTGCAATTAATCCACTTTCTGGATTTGTGCCATCCAGAGCACATGAAACTAACCAAACCGGATTGGTTTGTGCAACTTGTAAGATTAAAAAAAGAAAGAAAGATGAACATTAACCAAGTGTGCACATGTAATGCCTACACAGCTGCAAAGGGGTGTTATATGAACAGAGCTTTTTTTTAATAAAAAAAAAAGAACAGATTCTCTCTGCAGTTTCTATTTGCTAGTGAAGTCTTCCAACCAGCATTCTCCAACTGCTTATCACTCCCAGCCAACAGCAATTCCTCTGGTTGGAAATCATGAGGAATTTACTTCCAAGAATGTGTTGGACGTGACTGGCTGAGGAAAAAAACCTGCTGTAATACAATTTTCATAAGGCACAACCTCTGTGAGAAATGGCTGCATTTCAACCCTTGCCTTCTAAAGCCAGTCCTCAACTTACAACCATTCATTTAGTGACCGTTTAAAGTTACAAGAGCACTGGGAGAGAAAAAAAAAGACTTATCACCAGTTTTCATACTTTAAGACCATTGCAGCATTCCCAGGCTCTGGGGATAATTCACTTAACAACCGTGGCAAGAAAGGTTGTAAAATGGGACAAAATTCACTTAACAACTGTTTTGCTTAGCAACAGACATTTTAGGCTCAGTTACAGTCGTAAGTCAAGTGTCAACTAAAAAGACTATCCACAACCCACATTTTGGGAGTTGGCTCGAAAAAATAACCCATGTGTATTAAAAATCTGCATTTTAGGATTTAACGTTGAAGGAATGCATCTACTTAGATAATTTATATCCCAAATATCACTTTTCAAATTGTATTTCTTTCCCCCTTTTAAGCTACAAAATTAAAGGGACCAAAATCCATGTCAAACAGACCAGAACTGAATTCCTATTGTCTATCACTCATACTAGGGATGAAAAAGAAAAAAATTCCACACTGAAAAATAATTGTTGGTAACTTAAAACTGGGTCATTTTCTTAATTAATGAGGCCTCCATTGTCTTTCAGTCACTCGTAGCCAGCTTCAAGCCTTTAGGAAAGCAATGGATTTGGCTCCATGTGTGTGAGAATGACATCTCCTTTGGATGCAACCAACCTGTTTGAAGAATGAATAGAAGTTTCCATGGTTTTAACCTGTTTAGAGATGCTCTTTTCTCCAGACAAAACTGCTGAGCTTTGAAAGAAATAAGGAATGGGGACAATTTGTCCAGCTAAAATAATCTCAGCCTTTTGGAGAGGAAGATTTCAAGACAAAAAATGAAATAAAGGTTGCTATTTTTATAGCACCAGTCAATATATCTGTTAATATAAAATGTGCCATTCATATACTGAGGAATTTACTTCTCAGAAGTGGCTGGCTGAGAAAAACGGCCGTAATACAATTTTTCAGTAAGCCACAACCTCTGTACGAATGGCTGCATTCCAATCCTTGAAATCTACAGACAGTTCTCAACTTACAACAGTTCATTTAATGACTGTACAAGTTACAACGGCACCGAGAAAAGTGACAGGACCATTTTTCATACTTACGACCGTTGCAGCATCCCTATCAGGGGTGGGATGCAAATTTTTAAACTACGGGTTCTGTGAGCGTGGCTAGGTGGGCGTGGCTAGGTGGGCGTGGCCAGGTGGGCATGTGACTGGGTGGGCACTTTTTTAAATTTTTGTCCCCTGGGCCTCAGGGAATCCTCCTAGGCGAAGCAGTACAACAGTGAGGGAGAGGATCAGCTGTGCCGCGTAATTTAGATTAGCTAGAAAGCAAGAAATCTGACGATTTCCTGCTTTCTAGCTAATTTAAATCGCGCGGCACAGCCGATCTTCAGAAAACAGCTGATCGATGGGGGGGGGGTTTGCTCCCAGCTGCTCTTCGGAGCTACCGGTTCGCCTGAACCGGGCAGAACCGGGCAGAACCGGTAGAATCCCACCCGCGATCCCCATGGTCATGTGATCAAAAATTCAGATGCTTGGCAACTGGCTCATATTTATGACGGTCGCGGTGTCCCGAAGGTGATGTGATCCTCTTTTGCGATCTTCTGACAAGCAAAATGAATGGGAAAGCCAGATTCACATCACAACCGTGTTACTAACTAAACAACTGCAGTGATTCACTTAACAGTGTCAAGAAAGTGTCAGGATTCCAGCCATCGCTCTAATTAAATCATGATTCTCGAGCCCAACTTCAAAAAACTTCAAAGGATTCATTAGCGGCGACATGCTGGCACTGCCCTGTGTGAAGTCAACTCTGGCGTATGTAATTTACAGTCCCCTGTGACCCTGTTTCCCCCCCTCTCCCCAGGTGTCTCATAAACCAGATTCTCCAATTGAGCACGTTCACGGGCTGGGTGTCATCAATCACATTCTCCAATTAAATATATTTGAGGGCAAAAGCTCTGGTATTTTAATTACGATCTTTTAAAGGTAAGAGTTGGAATGTACCTCCGCTTTCAAACTGCTGCACTGCTCTTCCAGATTTCCTTCCTCCGCCCCTTTTCTATGGCAACTGCTAAAACAGGCATAGGAATGTTTTATGAGTTGACAGAAAGGTCTTAAAATGAGGCAAAATTCACCTAACAATTGTCACACTTGGCATCAGTAGTTTGGGGCTCAATTGTGGTCATTAAGTCAAGGATTACCTGTAATTTCCCCCAGGGCTGCGTTATTCCAGTTGTTCACCATTGCTTTGATTCTGGGAGTTTGTTAATTAACAACCTTGAGAAATCAGGTCAAAAGTAAATAGCAATAGTACCTTGGCATCAAATACAGCTCCCCTGTTTAAATAATGATTGAGCAAATTTTTCTACAAAGTTTGAAAAAGAGAGGGGATGTAATTGAAATAAACGGCATCTATCTCATGTAATAAATTGGCAGGTTCAGAAAATTTTTGCCCCTGTCACTCACTGTGCAATTTACATACAATTAATTTACAGGTTGTAATCAATCTAAGGTTTAGATCTGGTTATGCCTTGAATGGTGTGGGAGAAAATTTGCAAGCTCTAAGCTAGATTTTTCCAATCCTGTAATACTTAAAATCTTTTAAAACCTGCAATGTTTTACATTCCTGCAAGAAAGCAATAGCAGTCAACAGGTATTCCTCGAATTACAAACAAAATTGTGCCCAAAATTTCTGGTGTTCAGTGAGTTTCACCCCATTTTACAACCTTTCTTGCCATAGTTGTTAAGTGAATCACTGTGTTGTGGTTTGTCGGCAGCCTGTGCGGACGGCAGCAGAATTGGACAGTGGGGAAGAACGGGGACCAGTCTGGGAATCTGGGGAGGACATTAAGCGTTGTTAACCTAATCCTGCGTAGCTTTCTCTCCGGTAATATCGCACTACTAACTAGAGCATACAAAACATTTGCTAGACCAATACTTGACTACAGCTCATCAGTCTGGAACCCACATTACATATCAGATATTAATACAGTCGAGAAAGTCCAGAAATATTTCACGAGAAGAGTTCTCCACTCCTCTACTCATAGCAGAATACCTTATTTATTTATTTATTTATTTATTTATTTATTTATTTATTTATTTGATTTATATTGTCGCCTATTCACCCATGGTGACTGATGCCACCAGACTTGAAATTTTAGACCTAAACAACCTAGAACTATGACGCCTTTGGTCCGATCTAAGTGTAGTACATAAAATTATCTACTGCAATATCCTACCTGTCAATGAATACTTCAGCTTCAACCACCATAATACAAGAGCACACAATAGATACAAACTCAAAACCGCACCAAACTTGATTGTAGGAAATACGACTTCAGCCACAGAGTGGTCAATGTCTGAAATCCTCTACCTGACTCTGTGGTTTCTTCCCCAAATCCCAAAAACTTTAACCTTAGACTGTCTACTATTGACCTCACCCATTTCCTAAGAGGTCTGTAGGGGGTGTGCATAAGCACACCAACGTGCCTACCATCCTTGTCCTATTGTTTCTTTTTATTCATATCCATTTTATGTATTCATAACCATGTTCATACTTATACCTGTTTTCTAATACTTGCTTGACAAATAAAATAAATAAAAAACCCATTGCAATGAGGTCCAGAGACAATAGCTAGGTCCAGCAAAGAATAGCTACGGCCAGTGGCACCAAACTCATCCTAAAACATTCTTTTTATACTTCTCTGCACACATTTCACAACTTACTTCCTTGTTCTTTCTTACTGACCATCTCCACGTATACCCATGTACATCTCAAACCTCTATCCACCAGCTACTTTCAGTTCCTTATTTCTCATCCTTCTATGTCCAAATATATTTATAAAGCTACATACTTTGCAAAAGCATGTTTCACAATTAGCAACGGCTCAATAGGATTACAAATAGTTCTGGTACATTTTGAAATCATCCTAATCTAAAACTTTGGTTCATGTTCCTTTATCCTGGGGCCTGCTATCACCCATAGGCTTTATTGAATCTGATAGATCCATAGCCTATATTTTTGTTTCCCACAAATCCTCAGCTCGGCTTTTTCATTTTATGCCTTCAATGCTACACACCATATGCTAATTTTTTTGAAAAAAGTCATCACTCCGTACTGCAAAAAGGGAAGAAAGCAAATGTTCACTCTTCTACTGCCACTGAAAAATATGCAAGTTATTTGCGTGATCTCCGGGCAATCGGGCAAAACAAAAGAAGAATTGTTCTCCCTCTCCTTTTTTGCTGAGTTGTGTGTTTCTCTTGTCCTCAGTGCTAGAGGGCACAGAAAGCAACAGAGTCTGACACACACACACACAAAC